CATTTAATTTATTATTAACAAAATAATACAAGTTCGATTAACAAAACCTTTTTTCATATATATTTTTTCTTTATAATGCGTGTAATGTACTAATCAGCAACTTAATATATCTTTAAAACTTAACTTTTTCAATTTGTGTTTAGTTACATTATGATTATCACTCGATTTGAATAAACTTCTAAATGAATTCTTCTAATAAAAAAGAATTAATATAAAATATAAATAATTTTTTCATATATTAAAAATAATTTACATTTTTAAAATTTTTAAAAATTAAATAAAAAATTATAAATTGATTTTAACTTATAAGAGAAGTTTAATTTATTTTACTACTTATTTTTTAATTATTTTTATAAATACTTATTGAAAAATTAATTCAAAATAAGCTTATATGGGAAAGAAAAAAATTTACATTTTTATTAAATAAAAATCACTATAATTGAGTAATTAGATAAACTAATATATTATTATTTTAATTTAATTTGTAATGTTGAGTTTGACTGTTTAAATAAAAATAACGATAGTTAAATTGTAAAACTCATTAAAGGATAGTTTTTAAATTACAAAACTTTTTTTAGAAACAATTTGAAATATGAGGTTTATTTATTTTAAAATTAGTTAGTTGTTTGAGCAACGTACAAATATTTTATTTTAATATATATAATAATTTAAAAACAAAAATTTTAAAATTTTAAAATAATTACATATATTTATATACAATAAAATTATTTTTATGAATAGCTTTTTCTTAAAACTATTTTTTTTTTTTTGCTGATCTCTTCAAACTATTTTAATTTAACTCCTTAACCACAAAATATAAGATAATGAAAAACTTTATAAATATAAACATAAAATATTTATGAAAATTTTTAAAGTTTATATCAGATAAAAAATAATTTTCATCTCTAAAATTTAGAATAAAATAAAAAAAATAATTAATTACAATAATTCACACATCATTCTAAGTCAATTTTAATTTTGAAAAATAGACACAGCTAATTATAAAAAAAAAATAACGCTCAACACTCACATGATTTAATGTGTTTACTTTATTATTAAAAAATAATAGAAGTTCAAATTAACAGAACCTCATTTTCATTTTTTCCCTAATTTAATGCAGTTAACGTACTAATCAATAACTTAATATATCTTTAAATTTAATTTTTTTAATTTGTTTTTTTCTTTTTTACTATTTTTTCTCATTCTAATAAGGTAATTAATGAATTTTAATGTTGTGGTGTCACATTGTGATTATGACTCAGTTTAAATAAACTTCTAAATAAGTTTTTATAGTAAAAATAATTAATATAAAAAATAAATAATTTTTTATACATTAAAAATAATTTATATTTTTTAAGTTTTAAAAAAAATTAAATGAGAGAGTCTCTAAAAAAATAGAAATTTATAAATTAATTTTAACTTATAAAAAAATTTAATTTATTTCACCACTTATATTTTAATTTTTATAAATATTTATTAAAAAATCAATTCAAATTAAGTCTAATGTATGGTTACTTTAACTTAACTTCTAATCTTGAATTTGAGTTTAAATGTTTAAATAAAAATAACTATAATTAAATGCAAAATTCATTAAAGGATAATTTTTAACTTGCATATTTGTCCTTAAAAATAATTTAAAATATGATTTATTTACTTTAAAACTAGTTAATTGCTTGAGTAATGCACAAATATTTTATTTTAATATATATATATATATTAATAATCTAAGTATAAAATTTTAAAATCTTTTAAATAAATTACACACACATATATTTATAGTATAATTATTTTTAAGAATTAGTTTTTTTAACAATTATTTTAACTTAATTCTTTAACCATAAAATATAAGACAATAAGAAAAATTTATAAATATAACACAAATATTTTTGAAAAATTTTGAAATTTATATATGATAAAAAGTAATTTTTATCTCCAAAATTTAGAATAAAATTAACAAAAAAAGTAAGTAAGAATTAAACCAATTACATCTATTCACATATAATTTTAAGTTAATTTTAATTCTAAAAAATATATATAGCTAATTATAAAACAGAATAGTACTCAACTAAACATTTCACTTTCTACACAAACTACTCTGATTTATGTATGTAAATTGGTTATAAAATTAATTATTACGTTTAAAAAAATAATTTAAATTAATTTATACACATATTTCAATCACATTGAACAAATTAAAAGTATTTTTATTAAAATCAATTTTACCAAATTTTAAACAAAATAGTCACTTGACTAGCTAGGTATTTATTAGATACTTTTATATTTCAAACATTAATCTCTTTCATCCATTTTTGGTGATTTTTTTAATGTATCATCCATCATATCTTTTTTATGTCTCTCTTCTCTCTCAAGTCTACACACAAAAAGAGAAGTACAACAAACAATGTTTCATTCTAGAAGCCTTTTCACCAGTCCAATCTGGCATATACTCGCATAACATGCCATATTTTTTGGCATTTGGCTCACACATTATTATTTACAGGCAAATATTTATATTTAAAAATATTAATAAAAAAATTTCAAATAAAAAATCTTAAAAAATATTATTAACATATAATTTTCAATAATTTATAATATATCTAAACCTTATTAATAGTAAAAAAATATTAAAATTAAAATTAAAATCATTAATAAAGAAGAACATTTTTTATATTACATTTTCTACTAAAAAATAAATGAATTCATATTCATCTGCAACCGCCAATTTGTCTTGTTCTGAATAAAAAAATGGTCAAATGAAGATGTTGTGGTGGGGCAAGCAATGACATCAATTGTGTATAAAGTAACCACTGGTGAATGTGCCATAGACACAGTCACAGATACTCTTGCTGCTTTGCATAGCTCGATTTTCTGATCGGTGAAGATGACAAACCCAAATGCTCTTTCAGCACATTCAATTCCCATTGTTCTTCCCTTCCTTGAGTTTCTCGCTAGCGGTTTGTTCAATGTCCTTTCTCATTTTAATTTTCAGTCTTCAGATGACGTTGTGCTACGCATGCAGCTATTTTATTATTCACTGCTTGTATGGATTCTTGTTTATCTCTTGTAGATTCACCAAGATCATGCACTTTTTTTAAGGGAAAAAAGAAAACCTTTGCATGTAAGATTTAAATCCCTTATCCCCAAATAATTCGAGTCCGTTGTTAGATTTTAGTGCATGTCATGCAGATTCGATTACGAATCGGCCACCTAGTTTAGCAATGGTCATAAATCTGGTCAAGTGTTTAACCCATTTGACTTCAGTTTATAAATTAATTAAGTACAGATTTCTTTTGGATATTCAAACTAATTTTGGTTTTGATTCAAAGTTATCAACTTTCTTCTGATTCGAACAACATCTTAAAACGTTTTTAATACTTGAACAAATGAATTTGAACGAATTAATTTAATATAAAATGATTTCATTTTAAGAGTTTTAATTAAATGTTCTTATTAACAAGAGTCCTAAAAATTTTAGTAAAAGAGTATTTAATACACCTATTAAATACTTTAAATATTAAATTTTTATAATTTTAATATAATAAATGCTTTTATTTTTATAAATAATTCCTACTTTTATTTTTTAAAATTAGTTAAAAAAATTATTACCTCATCCAACTATTATTTGACTGGCTTGAAAGTGAATCCTGACAAAATTGTGTTTAAAATTTGTATTTATTTCTCTTTTAATAAATATTAAATGAGGCTTATTTAATATTTATCAGACAAAGACACAAAACTTAACTACGAGAATTAAATATGAGAGGATATTCATAATTGAGTTAAATCAATTTTTTTTTCAACTCAACCAAGAAACGTTTTAGCCCAACTTGTTTATACAGAATGACACAAGTTCCACCGTGATTGTGAGCTCACCTAATAATAGTTCTTTTGTTAATAGATTTCAAAATCAAAACAACTATATACCGGTCAAAATTAGATTGAGAGTGTTTATTATCATTTTGGAATGTCTATTACTTATTTATTTATTTTATTTAAATATTATTATTGTTAATTTATTTAATCAATGAAAAATAATATTCTATATAAACATTATCTAAAAAAGAATGATGATAAATATTTTAAAGTAACAATAAATTTATCTAGAAATAATTGAACATTCGGTCGAACCGACGTTAATGAGTCAAACCCCTGTTAATAGAAAATTTCAAGAGTATACTTTTATAGATTTCAAAATATTTGAAAAGATATGAATTTGCTTTTTTGTGTGTATCAATCTTAACAAATAATTAAGGATTGATTCTTTTAAAAATTGATATGATATTCAATATGTTCTTTTAGGAGAACGTAGTGATGTTATTCTCGCTGCAAGAAATCACATGCAAAGTAACTATAGTATTTACTAATAATTAAGTTATTATTATATTTATGACAATATTATGTAGTTATTAAAATAAAATATTTATTAGGACAAAAATTAACAGTTACTAATATATACAACTATTAATAATAAGATAATTCATTATTAATATATTAAGAATTAATATTAAAAAATTAAATTTTAAACACACATAAAAATATAAAGACTAAAAATACAATTAAATTAAAAATTTATTGATAAAAGCATAAGTATTAATTTTATATATATTAGTAATAAACTTAAAATAAAAAATAAAAATAAATCATTAATATTGTATATTATTAATAAATTATTTATAATTAATAAATTTTTATTATTAGTAACAAATAAATATTTGGTACTAAAACATGGTCACTAAAAGTTAGATTTCCCGTAGATCTCCCAACTTCAATTTATTTAGGAATCTTGATTTTGCTTCTCGTCTTTAGTCGGTCTCAAAATTTAATGGAAATATTCTGTGTTGAGAAAATTCATTTGCTACATATATTAATTATTGTACCATTACACATTCAGCTATACACATATAGAGATTGTTTTATAAAGATTGATACAATAATAACGTAGTAGGCAATGTAATTATTTTTTTTAGGGAAGGAGAGTTTCCATTAATTGGGTGGTAAATATGTTTGAGAATTCCATAATTGAGCTAGCATATCTTAGTGGTAAATTTCCTCCTTACCCATTTTAAATGTCATACGAAATACGATCTCTAAGATATATGAAATATCCATTTGAAATAGTTAGAGTGATGAATCAAATTATGCTCGTGCTTTGCTTCAACAATTAAGATGTAACCCATCGACAAAAAATATTATGTGCTTCCATGTTTCTCTAAGAGGTCATGCCAATGTTTGAGGTACATATCTCAACGGGATGGAATAGGGTAGGATCTACGGAAGTGTTCTTGTGTAATGTGAATTTCTTTAAGTTAATTACTTATCTTTGTTTCCCTTATTGATTTTGGCAGTTCAAAGTGTAAGTGGAGTGGATCAAGAGGGACTAAACAATATCAAGGAATCTATTGTAGCCTTTTTCGATATCAGTCCATCCATGTTAGAAACTACAATTGCCAATGGTTCACTGATGCAAAATGAAGACGAACCAAATGGAAGCGCGTCTAATGCTTCTAATACCGCTCAAACGAGTCCTCCAGTTTCTACAGGTATATCTAAAAATCTTATTTCAATGTTTTCGTATTTTTCTTCACCCAAAGCTGAGTGGCAAAAGCAGTTCAGATAAAAGGATGAGTTTAGCTAATGGGAATAGTATATGTTAGAAGGTAAACGTTGAATGATTTCATATTTCGGATGATAATGTATATCTTTTGGCCGTTAAATATTTGTTATCCTGCAAACTAAAGAAATGTTCATGATAAATGTAATGTATAATTAGAGTCGAATATTTATACTTAGTAGTAGCAGGTGTGCATGAAAACAGGTACTGTTTTATATTGCACGTATGAGCTGACGTTGGTAAATTTGCAGGACCTAGAATAGAAATAGGGCTGCCGTTGATGTTCTTGTTCCGTGAGTTTCGCATGGCAGTGGCAGCGCTTGGATTCTTTGATTTGTCACTTGGTGGAGACTACAGGGCACGATTAACCCGCGCCAAAAATATTTTCAAGGAAGCCATTGCGGTATGGATATGTCTTTCAAATTCTTATCTTAATTTCATATCTGCGAACTTCTGACAACAGCCCAGATAAGCTTTTCACATATGTATTGCTCCTACTAGTTACCATAATGCTATCTATTTGTTCATATCTTATTCTACGTAACCTACAATACTACGCTTATTCTACTTTGACATTATTTTTACATTTTCACGACAAGGTGTAAAGCTATAGATTGTAGCATCTAGTTGACTATGCTTACTGCACATTTAAAGTAGTTTCAAAACCCATCAAGTATACATTAATCTCATGTTTCTATTTTTTTCTCCTCTTAGACTGCAGATGCATAATTAATGTCTTAACATTTTTCGAAGTATTTTGACATAGTAGTAATATTTTTGTGCATATAATTAGACTATGCATGGTAACTAATACTGAATTGTGACAATATTCTGGTATTTCTCGTTATTAGTTCCTCTTTAGTTACTCATCTTGCTGGTTGAACGATATACAACAAAATAACAGGTATTGATGGAAAAGGGGTTTCAGAACTTCGACCGTACAAACCTTGCTGACGGACTGAAAACACTAGGTGCGTAAAATCATGTAAATAGCAGGGTAGATGAAATATCTTTTTATTCCTTTCTTTGATATTACTTTTTTTTTTATCAGCAAAATAAGTTACTTATTTATTTATTTATATATCCATTTATCCTTCTATTATTTTTTTCCTCAAGCGAAAAGTTCCTCCTAAATAATAAAATAAGTTTTTTTATGTTGTATATTAAATATATATTGTTTTAAAAATCTAATTTTAACATACTGATAGTGTAAATTTTTTATACTATCACTTAATTATGGATTGACATATCAACAAAAAATTGTTAAATTCTACAATAATTAATGTAAAAATTATATTCATAATATATTTTAATTAGTAGTGTAAAAATACTTTTATTATATTTATAAAAGCAGCTAGGAATTTCTTTTTGTCCAAGCGTCTTCAGTGTTTGTATATATTAAGATAAATCTTATGGTTAACTGTTATATGGTAACTCTCCCTCTCTCAGCATATATATGTTTTGATATACATAAATCTGCTGCAGGTTCTAAAATTTGTTGCAAAAAAGTTTAAATTTTGTTTATGTATTCTCGTGTTTGTGTCTCCACAGGAAACAACGCAATGCATAACGAATTGCATGACAAAGCTATTGAGATGTATACTTGTGTGCTAGCACTGTCTACTGATAATGCTCTCCACTTCCGTAACAGGTAAGTTCTAGCTAGGCGAGCATGGAACGTAACATCCATTGTTTCATTTATTTTCAATATATATATGTGTGTGTGTTGTTCATATTTTTTTGTTTTTAACTATGAATATATGATGAGGACGTGCTGTTATTAAACATCTTGCAGAGCAGCAGCTTTTACCAAGGTTGGGAGATATGCGGACGCGATTCGTGATTGCTATGAAGCAATAAAGCTAGAGCCAGGACATGTGCTAGCATACTATCGTCTTGGTTATGTCTATTATCAGCAAGGCAAGAACCTTGAGGCTATTCGTGAGGGCTTCCTTAAAGGTTGGTTAATTTAGTCTCCCACTCACTCATAGTGTGTTTAATTTTGCATTCAAATATATATGAATTCAATGTGGTTTTAAATACACACTTGTATATATGACTTCGATTCTGAGGTCTACCTTAATTTATACTCACTTGTTTAACTAATGTTGTCTCGTGCCAATTATTATTAACTGGTTTTAATTTGCAAATGATGTAGTTTTGGAGCTGGATCCACAAAATGAAGATGCTATGGTTGGTCTTCAGGTATATATTGTCTATCTGACTTGAAATTTACAACCCATGATTAAATTTAAACTCGTTATTGCTAACTACTTAGAGTTTTCTCTATATAACTTATAGCTGGCCGATTCCAAGCTGAGAGATGAAGTAGCAAGTTTGAGAGAGCAGGTAAAAACAACTACTTTGAGACGTTAAACACTTCTTCACAATTATTGATGAAAAAAATTAAGGAAATTGGTAGTTTCACGTAATCGCATTACATATTATCAACTCTTTAATATTTTCCTATATAAGTATCCTAAAATTGAAGTAAAATAGTATAATTAATATCGTTGTTTCTTGGGACATGGATTTAGATTGAGAGGTTTGGCTTAAACGGAAACGGTGTTCCTCCCGTGACGGAGAGCCAGGCAGCTGTGAGGCAAATCCCAGTGTTGGTGTTTCGAGGACCGGAAGAAGGTGGGAATGGGCCATGGGAAATGGCTGAGGATGTGGGGGATACAAATGATGTTGATTTTGATGATGATGATGATGATGCTGATGTTGATATTGAAGATGGTAATGATGATGGTGATGGTGACGGTGATGGTGATGTTGATATTGCTGATGCTGACGGTGATGGTGATGTTGATATTGCTGATGCTGATGCCGATGCCGATGCTGATGCGGATGTTGTCGATGCGCATGTCCACAACATCCCTCCTCCTGAATGAGAGCAACAAACAAAGCTTTCTATGGTGCATGCTTATGTGTTTTGCATGCAAATAAATAAAACAATAATGAATAATATTGTGTTTGATATTTCTGTTTTCGTTATGTTTCATTTCTTTCTGCTTCTTCCCCACCATTTGAGGGATATGCCCGAAGATGGGTTAGGGATAATATATTCGATGCAGAAATGGATATTATTACAAATCTATCATTACATCTTTAATTATAAGCAAACACAAAGGGTCTTATTCCGAGAGTTATGCGCAAACTACAACCCTAGAGACAAGCAACAAAATTTAACGATAGAATTTTATTTTAATTCATGTTATTATCATGTTTTTAATGAAACGTAACTTACCAGTTATCACACTTGTTCAACAAAATAGTTTAAATTTATTAAAGATACTTTTTTGAGGAGAAAATTAAAACACTTTTTCAAAACAATATAATATCTTTAATTATTAATAATATAATGTCAAATAGGGTCTCGATTTTCACAGTCTAATTCAATTTTACTTACGTGGTTTTCATATGTAAAGGTTAATATTTAAGTTGATATTTTTATGCAAATATCGATCGATGTTAGATAAAATATTTTTAATTTTTAATTTATATTTGCGTTTATTAGATCATTTGATATTGCATTTTCATCTTAAAATAAGTGCAGATGCATTCTAATTGGTATTTCAAACAATTTTGTTATTACTTCTTGACTTTCATTATTATAAATTACTAAAGAGTAACTATAATAGAAACGATTTTATCTTTAATTTTTTACTCATGAAGTTTACACTTGTTATTTCAGCATAAGGAATGAATATTGGACATAATTCTATGCAAAGATATAATAGCAAAATATATTAGTTAGAAAGAAAAATACAATCATCCCCTCCTTCAAAACCTAATTCATATATATACCTTAAGAAACAACACTTTTGTAGTTTCTCTAAAAAAATGACCATTTCACTTGCAAATTTTATATACACTTATTTTTTCTAACATCCATTTTAATCCTTTTAAATTGTTTTATCTCTCTAAAATGGAGTGTAAAACACTAACTTTTCCAAACTCTTATAATTTTATATTAATTTTCTATTACTATTTATTATCTCTTACTCTCTCTCTCTCTCTCTCTCCCTTTTAATTTTCCCATTTTCCTCTCATTTGACTGACGTGTGGGCTGCTTTCCCTTGCGTTGTACGGGGGGGACTCTTTAAGTCCATAATAATTTTTGGTCGAGAAGTCCACAATATTAAAACTAGAACTGCACAAAACTAATCCTTATGTTGGGTTGTGGTTCAACGTTTTGCTGTACTTTGGTTACTTTTTCTTTTATTTTATATTACTTTTTTTGGGTTTCCATCCTTTGCAAAAGCGGTGTGGACAGTCGTATCAGTAACGGCACACTTAAGATAAATTTTTCGAAAAGTCTCCCAAAATTTTCTTTATTTTTTGAAAAATTCTCTCATTTAATTTTTGAAAAATTTTAAAATCATTAGTTTTTTTCTAATTTATAAAGAAAATTTTATTTATTTTTTATATTATTTTTTTCTTATAAAAACTTTTATAGAACTTTACCCAAATAGAGCCAATATAATAATAAAAACCTTACATTGACAATAATTTAACTTAGAAAATACTTGGTAAACACTTAAGTTGTCTACACCCAGAATGATATTAAAATAATTAAAAAATGATAAATGATATGATATAACAAGAGAAAAATAAAATGTGTCAAATCAATGATAATATTATTGAGGTGTCTATAAATTAAAATAGATGGATGAATTTTTAACTCATACTTGTTAGAGAAAGATATCCTCCGTTGATTTATCTCGATCTTTGCGGTAGTTTAATTATCACGTAGTAAGAATCTTCTGGGGGAAAAAAAGAGGGGGGGGGGGGGGGGAGATAACATATTCGTGTTACGTAAATCAAAGTTTATAAGAATATAAAAACAATTAAGGAAGTTTAATTTTTCTCCTAAATGACATGCTTCTAATCTTCTTATGTACTCTGCCATGATCATCCCCATAAACCCTGGTTAGCAGACTATAATTAGAAAACATTTTGGAAAATAACAGATTAATTAATTTTTTACTGACATACACAGTGCATTGTACTACAGTTCAAGTTGGTTTTTGGTACCAACTAAAGGGCTTCCTTCCCTTGTGCAGGTATAGGCCTTAACTGAAGCTATTCAAATATTGTTTCAATGAAGAAAGAAATATGCAGTGTTTCACAAACAGTGATAGGATAGTAACTCTTGACGGGTACAAATAGTCCTGGAGTTAGGGCTCATCTTGATTGTTTTATAAGACTACAATACAAGGAATCAGTGTGATCGTTTATAGCATAACCTTTCATGCAATAATTTAACTAGAAGCATGGCAAATATACAAGTTTCTCCCTTTTTCTTTTGCGCTTTGCTAATCATTATCTTAAGGACAGCGGTAAAAGAATAAAAATAAATAAAAATTCTTTTTATTGAAAATGCATTAGAAATCATGATGGCATTTTTTATAAAAACTTTCCTTTGTTAATCAGTGCCCTCCACGATGGGGTGCATTAATAACAATAAAGGCTCTAGTTATCATTTCGCTTCTCTTTTTGGTTTTTTCTAATATTAAGTTCCGGTCATGTTCAATTTCTTGTAATGAACACTGCAACACACCAGGAATATCTAATATCAGTTAGTACGATTTCTCGTGTCCAAGCGCTACAAGAATATGAAGAAAGTGTACAAATTAATACCATTACGGAACAAAAAATAGACAACACTTCACATTCAGACCAAAATGGTCCTTAGTGTGTGATAAAATATCAGGAACTATATACAAACTATAAGTTAATTACAGTTAATGTTATTGTATGAAAGTTAACTTTGGATGGCTTGTTTTACCTGGTCCACAATCAAGAGCAACAATATCCTGTAATCCAGTATAAGCCTTTATTTTTTGTTCTATGGCAAAGTAGATGCATTATTGCGGCTCCACAGCCGACACATTTGAGTAAGAGTAAGTGTAGCTCTCAACATTAGTGTTGCCCTGTCTGAACTTTGTCCAGGAAACCTGCCATGTTTTAAGCAAACTTTGCCTGCATGCAGATCACAGCAATCAGATAGCATCAAGATAGTAATCAAACTAATAGTCTAATATTGCAATTGTAAATTAGTTTCCAATAAACAATAGAAAATGAACTACAAGTTCTTCACTAATAGTACAATCCTGGGTAAATATCATAGGTAACAAGATGATAACAGTTTGATTTGTTTAATGAATGGGGTTCCTAACTTGCTCTTGTTGAACTGAGATGAGCAATTTACAATAAGGCTGCCAATCTTGCAACTCCAGTTCCTATTGTTATTTGGTTAACTATGTGGAATCTAACATGCATTAGTTATATATCCCAGCAAAGGAAAAAAAAATAAGAGCAAATAAATGCAATAAGAACATGTTTACTAGTGAAAGTGAATATGTTGATTTGAGAATTTTTAATCCAATCACAATAAAAGAACTCCAAGGAAGAGATACATCATATAGTCAGAAAGAGAAACATAAAGAAACTTCAACAACTAGGTTCCCTTTCTTAAAGTTTAGGGTTGTTTCTTTTCTTTTTCCAAGCTCCACGTACATCCCTCTTTCCAAGCTAAGACTTTTTTGTAACGCACCTAGGGTGATAGGACCTAAGCGGCTAAGCCTAATGCCAACTCCTTGTGTGCTAACTACATAACACATTCCCACATTAGAGGCTGTTTTGCACACAAGTAAAATTTAGAAATAATTAAATCCATTAATTATATGCACTTTACTGTTGCAGACATGCATACCTCTCAGCTTCAACACTCCTCTTAGCAAGCATGAATGTTAAGAATACAGGAACCATCGCTGCACACAAATGCTTCAGTGTGTGACCACTGACAACATGATAAGTCCATTCATAGATCACCTTATCAGTAGCCTCTAGCACCTTAGCTAGAAGATAAGATCCTGGAGAAAAATTATTTTAAATCTAAGCATGGCTAGTGTTTTTAAAGAACATTGAGGGGGAATTATACCATAACATAAATCCAAACCTGCAGCCCAGAGCCAATATGTTGAATGTGTGTACATTGGAGGCAACAAAATAGCCATGAGAGGAATGGCAATGCATGGTACAAATTGGACCAGAGCATACGGACGGAGGTCATCAGAAAACCTAAAGTGGAAGATGAGCAATAATATCAGGAGTTAACAGGTAACTCAGCTGAATGGTTGTGTACTTAACAGTTAACCCTAAATGGAAATCACATAAAGGAATAATAACATTGAAAATATGAAAATGACTAGTCTAGATTTTGGCAATCTAAAGCACACCGTGAATCTTGTAAATTATATATGGCAAATATATTTGCAGAATTCACAAATAGTTTTGTGTTTTATCCATACGAAGAACAACTGTCCTCATTTGTAGTCATAATAGAAGGAGTTCTGTCAAACACGATGCAAAACAAAACATATCGAGGTTCTTTATCAGTGGCTGCAGAAAATAATAAACAATGGCTTGCCTCCAATACGCAATGCTTATTATACCCGCCAAAATTAGAGGTATAATTGAAATCATTCCCTTCTTCTCATCAATCCGCTCAATGATGAATATTGCTATGATTGATGTAAAAGCAACGGTCATCTGTAATATAATAAATTTGCAAATTAAAGTTGACAAATTACAATGGACCAGAGAAAGGGGGAAGGGGCAGTCAGCAGTGGGAATGGATTTCTACAACAACTAATTTCATCTTTAACAGCCAGAACTCACGGGCAATCGATCCCACACAAGACGAGCATCATCTGGCTTGAGATGATAGTATGAAGATCCAACTGCAACTGCAGCCACACCAGCATAGAAGCATGTCCAACCCCATAGTTCACCCTGCAAACTTTTGGCACACATTTATATCAGCAACAACAAACATCACACACAGGTACAACAGATAGAATCATCATTTTGTAAGCAGTAAGAAATTGATTGTCACACAAAAATACAGTACCTGAGCCTAAAGTAATTTCCATGATGACAAAGTATAAGTCCAACAAGACCAATAATCAGAAAAGGGAAATTCGATATCACATTAAGTGCATTAGGAATACCTGCAATTAACGGTGAACCATTAAAATAAATGAATAAAAAAATTTCTCCAGCCAATTCACACCAATTCCTCAAAAATCATACAAGCACACCCAAGTTTAAATTTTTTAGGTGATCCACTTGAAAAGAACTAAAAGGGTGAAAAAAGAACTCAGGATGAAGCATAATAGTAATTGAAAGGGTTACCGAAGAAGTTGCGCTGGTCGGCGAAATTATGGTATTCTTGGGACTGGGGAATGGCGGGGGTGACGATCATGAGTACTATGAAGCAAAAAACTGCTACTAGCCATGCATAAACAGTGCGTTTTCTCATCTTCAGGGCACGAAGCAGATCTGAGGCGATATCAGTCATGAAGAATGGGCAGAAAAGCCGTGTGCAGTGGCCGTTGAATAGACTCAACAGTCTCAGCCACACCCGGTTTTGTTTACCTCTCTCTCTTTGCGGGGCCCACCTATGTTTTTTTCTATATGCACCCTTAATTTATTATTAATTTATTATATGCACCCTAAATTTAATTAATTAAATAGATGATTCCGAGTTTAAGAAAAAAATTATTAAGTTTAATAGATTAATTTAATTAAGGTTGATTAATTTTATAATAATATATAAAATATTTTTTATATAAAATTATATTATATTTGTAATATTATATTTAAAAAATTAAATTTTATAATATTAGATACATATTTAAATAGTTATTAGGCTAAGTGAGACTCTTAAAAAGGTTAGGTCAAATTTAATAAAAAGTTTATAATAGATAATGAGTTATATTTAAATTTCAAAAAAAATTAATTAAGTGAAACATACTTAAGTAAAGTGACTTGGCCTACTTTCATCCTTAGCCTACTAAGTGTTACTATAGTCATGCAACAAAGGAGACGACTATTATGTGTGGCATATATATACATTTTAACTGGCTGTGAAATATTTATCATGTTTAAGTATAAGATGCTTATTTGAGGGTATCCGACATAAGCATTTCTACTTTATATGGACTTAATTTCATTTTTGGTTCCTATGCTTTAATGTATATGTAATTTTGGTCCTCTTAAATTTAATTGCTCACATTTAGTAACGTGTGATTTTAATCCCTCTAATTTTAATTGCTCATATTTATTTTCTCTAGTTTTCAAATATGCAAATTTTATTCGTCTAGTTTTAATTATTCACATTTAGTTCATTTAGTTTTTCAAATGTTTAAATTAAGTCCTTAATTGAGACTTTTATAATATTTTATATATTTAATTTTGCATTTTTACTTAATTATTTTTATATATTTTTCAGCTTAATTATACTTTTGATACCTATAAAAGTATCCTTTGAAATTAGTCTTAAAATTATTTTTTTACTAGGATTTAGTCTCTAATATTTTCAAGATGTTTGGAATTAGTTACTTTTTTTAACTAAATTTTGTTAAGTTGTGAGTTGGATAATAAAAGTCTAACTTAGTAATGTCATATCATTATTATTTTTCATATTTTACTATGTAAAAGTTAATATTTGTAAAAAAAACTTCCTACTTCAATTTTTTTCCTCTTCTTCTCCATTGATGAATGACTCTTCTCTGAAACCAACAATTTTAGTGCGTACCCTTAACAGTTGACAAGCACTTTAAGACTCACCAACAATCATGAAAACCTAGGTTGGTTGATCCTCCACTCATCTGATTGGAGGTATGGATAGAGGCCATTTGCACAACCTTCTCCCTTTTGTCCTTATGATATTGTAAGATAGGGTAGTTCCTTTGAGTAACTCAATTGCCCCTTAGCCCAATGCTCATGATTTGCTACAAGACCTTCAATATGTCGAAGGACCAAGCAGGGCTAGCGACATAGGAGCAGACTTGACATCAGTGACTTCATGTTGCACTAGAGTGACCCAATATGTAGTTCTACATGTTTTATCATTTCTTCGTTCATTTTCAATATTGATAGTGAACACCATGAGCAATAGGATGTGGAGGTTAAAAATGTAAAGTGAAAATTTTTACTTTCCTATTCCTAGTCATCATGGGAAAAAAAAGGAAAAAATAAGAAAGATTATTTCCTAAGAGCTTGTCCAATACCAAAAATGCATCTCCTTGCATGCGAGAAACTTCTATGCTAGTTCTGTTATAAAAGAAAGCGACAGACTCATCTTAAATGCATTCCTTAATGAGGAGGGATTTTAGGAGATTAGGGTTCTCCTTTATCTCCTTGAACCATTCGCAAGGGTTTTAATAAAAATCTATGTAGATGTTTCTACATTGGAATAAATTCTTCTGTTTTAAAAAATTGAACAAAAAGTCACTCTTTTCTCATCTCACAATATTTCATAACTTTCTAAGAATCAAAGAATGACACTTCAAAGTGCCTCACATTAGGCCCTAGGAACTTAACTTAAGGTAGAGATGAAGGTGAGAAACTAAGTATTGGATGTGAGGTTGAAAAAGAAAGAAGAATATTTTTTTGTAAATATAAACTTTTACATAATAAAATATGAGAAATAATGATGACGTGACAATGGTGAGCTGAACTTTCGTGCCACCACTTAACAAAACTTAGTTGACGATAAAGATTAATTTTAAATATTTTTAAAATGTCAGAAACAAAATTCAAAATTTAAAGACTAATTCCAAAGAGTTCTACTTTTAGATGGACTAAACATGTAATTAAGTCCCTTTTTTGGTATAAAGGAATACTAGTAATATAATTTCTAATGCACTCTTTTTAACTATTTATTGACTAAAATTTATTAAAAATTATAAAAGTACGATAGAGAAACATTAATTTATAAGTAAGAAAAGTAAAACCCAAATAGTTTTTGTATTTTTCAATAAATTTCAATTAGTAGTTAGGAGTTTGTTGAAGTGAATTGTTGGCATTCTTCTTTATATAAATCAATAAAATGTCATATTTTCATTATATTTTTATTAATTATTGGATAAAATTTTGAGATTTAGGACTTAATTTGAACATTTGAAAAACTAAAAGGATTAAATATCAGCACTTAAAACTAGAGAGAATAAAATCACACATATATTAAAATATAGGGGTTAAAAGTGCAATTAAGTCTTACAGATAAGAATGCCACTTACGTTTCAATAGCTTGCTCCAAATTATTTTGTGATAAAATGTTAGTTAAAGGTCTCTAGGGGAAGTTGTTGAGCTTGCATTCCTATTTGAGAATTTAAGTGATGTTAGTATTGATAAACTATCGTTCTACCATTTTATTTATAAAATTTTAGTCTATTTTGTGATTTGAATTGTTATTTTATACCTTAAAGTGACTAAATATCACTTGATTTCTTTGTATGAAGTTATGAGAATACAACTTGGTTAAAACATGTTAAATCATGAATAAAAGTTATAGGAAAGATAAAAGAAAAATAGGTTCTATTGGTAAAAGATTTGAAAGGAGCACGCACTTGCTAATAATCTCAATATACATTTTGCTCTTGATGCAATACACCTATTGTTCACAATATTACTATTTCTCTAGGACATGCTCAATTAAAAGCATGCCTTGTACTCGACTCTATGGCGTTAATCAATAAAAAGTTAGAATTTTTGAAAGTCAAATCATATTTTTGTACATTCAAAACTCCATTTAAATGGTCTTTGTCTCTATTTATAGACACGCTTAATCAATCATCTTCTCTACACTAAAATTCTAAATCTTTCATCCTAATATTTTGTCTTTCTCCATTACAGTGTTGTTCTTTCATTAGAGTAGCTTAGTCACAATTTTTTTTTTATTATTTGTGAATATGAATATTTTGTATTTACTTACTTTTACTTTTATTTTTATGACTATGTGCAACTAAATACTTTTTCCATTAGCTAAGGTGGATTATTGTGATGTAATCTTTTTTGAATCTATTTTTATTTGATATTGATGCAATTTGTCAATTATAATTTCTTCTTTGATATTATTATTCTTGAATTGACCACATAAGGATAAATCTTAGTTAATAAATTGTTAGACAACTGTACCATTTATAAGTTAATGGAATTAAGAGGTAATTTGGGTTATGAGTTAAGAGGACTAATCTTTAACCTATACTTCCAATTAGTTAATTAAATTTAATAAATATGATGTTTTATTAATATACTTATTTATATTATTGCTTTTTATGATCATTAGCGTAACATATAAATAAGAAGGTTATTGTTGTTCTATAATCATTAGGTAATGGTAATAATTGATTAGGTAATTGGTAATTACTTTAAATATAATGGAATTAAGGAATACATAGATATTCTTAAGAAGAAACCAAAGTTTCATACTTTTATTATGTTAAATCAACTTTATAATTTTGTTGCTTTTTGCTTTTTTTTTTTAATTTAAATTTTTATTTTAATCTAAATATTCTTAACTTTTAAATTTGTTTAACATATGAGGAACAATAGTAGTTGGTACTTGCAATATAGGTTTTATGAGAATGATACTTGGAGGGTCTCAAACACTCCTTTTTTACTATGATTGATGGATGCACTTAATCATTGGTTGAAAATTATTTGAAAATTTAAAAAATAAGTTTTTGGTGCTATTGTCAAAAACTATATTTAGGAACATTTTTAATATGAAAATTTGGTGATTAAGCTTATAAAACATAAAAATATTAAAATATTATTTGCTTCATTCTATCTTCCTTAATTGCTTTTAGTATATGCTCACTTTTATTTCTGTTTTTTAATCTAATCCTAAAATAGAAAAGACAATAGGATGACTAAGAAAGGAAACCAAAGAAATTAAAATGGGAGCTCACAAAGATCAATGCACTTTATTAGTCTACTTGTCTCTAGCCAATGAAGCTATAAGAATTATCATCCACATTTTGACTATTAAAGCAAACAATTTTGAGATGAAGTTAACTTTATTTAATATGATCCAAAGAGCTCTCACATATAGAAAAACACATTTTGAAAATCTCCAACTTTACATCAGAAAGCTCTTATATTGACAAACACAATCAAGATAAATGATCTGACTTCTAAATATTAACTTAACTCTTTATCATATGACTTCATCACTACATGAGTTTAATTGCAATGACAACTTTTTATCTATTATTTTTTTTCTTTTTTTTTATCTTCAAAATTTAACAGTTAGTTTTGTCTAATATGAGAGAGAGTCATTATATAAAATATGAGAGAGATTTCAACCCTTTGCTTGTGAGCTATCCATTATATTAATATCAGATTGTTTTTATAATTATCTCACTCTGATAGGATTATAGTTGATGTCGCCTATAACAAGGAAAATCTATAAAAATCTATTGAATGAAGAAAGGTTAATGGGAAATATTTTAAATTCAAAATAAATATATTTCTAAAAATGTATATTATAAAAAAAGACTATAGGATTAAAAATAAAAAACACTAAGTTCATTTTACTCAGGTC